GTGGTGCTTTGGGGGAGCTCTGGCACTTACCTTGCGTGCCGCTTCCGGGCCCCAGCACAGGTCCTTCGTCCCGCAGGAAAGGATTTTCTGGCTTCCACCACTGACCTTCGGGACTTCCCACACAGATCTTTGAAGAGGGCCCGCAGGAGACTTTGTCCCATGCTCTAGGCCTTCAGTTGGGCTTGTGGGAGGGATCATTATGAGTTTTAGGATTCAGCTGGACTCATGCAGGATATGAGGATCCAGGCCCTCCACCGGATTCTTTGGCTTTTAAGTATATGGACAGATTTCCTGCACTTCTTGTATATGATCCTTTTTTATTTTTCGTGGAACCAGGGATTGAACTCAGACCCTTGTGCTTGCCAGGGAAGTGCTTATTCTGTTGAGCCGTCTCCCCGGCCCCTGTATATGATTCTTAGGTGATTCCTTATATTATACAATGTGTCCCGTATTATAGTTTTCCCTGCAAAAATACCCAAACCATGACAAGGGCAGTCCTGATTTTATTTTTCTCTTTTTGAGACCAGGTATAGGGATTTATTGGTCTCAGTCTGATCAGTCCTACCTGGTGAGAAGCAGTGGCAGGAATGAGAAAAGGTAGACAAGAGGACAAAGCCAGACTTGGTAGTGGCTAGTCTGCCTGGTTGGCAAGACAAACCCAGCAGCACAACAAAGCCTATGTTTATTCATCCTTTTGCAAAATTAGTAACACGTGACACAAGGTTGCCTAGTGACTAGCAGCCGACATTATCCAGTCAGGGTGCTTATCTCAGGACTGAGGAAGCTTGTGTGCTTTAGGCACTGAGGCCTAGTCCTGCCTGTACATCTTTGACTGATTTTCCAGCTTTTGCAGCTCCCAATAACACAGTCTCCCAGTATAGTTTAGGCTAGTTTTAAACTCGGTGGCAGTCCAGGCTGGCCCCAAATTCACAATGATCCTCCTGCCTCAGCCTCCCAAGCACTGGGGTTAGATGCGTGCTCCACCACACCTTGCTTTGTTCTTTGTTCTAGATATTAGTCCTTTTCCCACACTGTGGGTTGCCTCTGTACTCCATTGGTACTTGCCCCCCTCCTCCTCTCTTCTTTCTAGAACCAGGGATCAAACTCAGGACCTTGCATTCATTGGTGCCTTCTTGTGGTTTGCTCTGCAAAACCTCTTTAATCAGATGGGATCCCGTTGTTCTTTGTGGTCCCAGTTCTTGGTAGTTCCTGTGAGATCGGGTTCTGCTCTCGGTCTTTGCTTGAACCAATGTCTGCAGAGCTCTGCCAGTTCTTTGGAGGTCCCATTCGACTCAGCTGTTCCCCTCCTGCGTATCTTCCCAGAATTAAAAGCATCATACTACAGTGGCATATGCACATCCATGTTTATAGCGGCACAATTTGTCATAGCAAAGTCTTAGAAACAACCCAAATTCTCATCACCGAGGAATGGCTAAAAAGGTGCATTCTGTTTATACAATGGAGTATTACTCAGCAATAAAGGATAAACTGGAGACTTTTATAGGTAAATGATGCAATCTGCGAGCATACTCATAAGTGAAATACCAGATGCACATGTGTAAACACTGTATTGTTTCCTGGTGAGCCCATATAAATATGTATTATATATATATGTATTAGATAAAATATACTAATTTTTCTTAGTTGGTTGAAATGAAAGGGTTGTGCTAATATTCTTAGTACAATTAAATGCTGGTTATCTTCTATTCTGAGTAAATGATTTAAAGATGATAGTATGCAATGTCTTCAAGATTACCCTCATTACTTGTTTTATTTTTGTGTGTGTGTTAAATTCTATTTATTTTTATAATGTATTACTTGGTTTTGAGATTTTGCATTTTTTTCTCTTTAACACAAAAATATTTTTTTTTGCATTTTTGTCTTTTCGAGACAGGGTCTCACTATGTGGTTCAGGCTGGCCTTTAGCTCACTGTGTAGCCCAGGCTGGTCTTAAACTCACAGCAGTCTTGCTTAAGCTTCCGGAGTGCTGGGATTACAGGCATGCGCCACCACACCTGGCAGTAGGAGGCCAAACCTGAAAAGTCTGACCCCTTCTATCTTCCAGCACACCTAGTGTTTCAGGTGTAATACATCGAACTTTGATTCATGCCAGTTGTACTTTAGTGCACCGTGGGCCTCGTTTTAATCTTTGGCATGTGGAAAGCCAATTTTCCTAGGACCTTTTATTAAAGGGGTTATCTTGGGTTGGGGAGGTAGCTCAGTAGAATAAGCACTTGCCTAGCAAGTGCAAGGGGCTGAGTTCAAGCCCCGATACTGAAAAAAAAAAAAAAGTCTTGGAGGCCAGGGAGATAGCTCAGTGGAATAAGTGCTTCCCTGGCAAGTGCAAGGGCCTGAGTTCAATCCCCAGTTCCGCAAAAAAAAAAAAAAAATTTTCTTCCAGTGAATGTATTTGGCTCCTTTGTCAAAGATACTGTGGCTGAGTGCATTTGGAGTTGTCTCTGCACCTTCTAAATGTTTCATTGGGCCAGGGAGATAGCTCAGCAGTCTAAGCTCCTGCCTGGCGAATGCAAGGACCTGGGTTCAATCTCTGGTACTGTGTGCCATGCTGGCCCTGCACTGGACCTGTCACCAAAACCAGGTGTGCTAGTGCACGCCTGTCATCCCAGCGCTGGGGAGGCTGAGACAGGAGGATCACTACAAGTCTGAGCTGCATAGTGAGACCCTGTACCACATAAATAAAATGTTCATTGATCCTCAGATCTTTTTTTTGCCAGCACCATGTTTGTTTTTTGAGACAGAGTCTGGCTACATACTGCACACTGCACTTGAAATCATGATCCTCTTGCCTCAGCCTCCCTACACTGGGACTACAGCCATGCACCGTCAATGCTTAGGCCCATGCTGTTCTTATCACAGCAGCTCTGTGGTATATATATATATTTTTTCTTAAATGCATTTAGTACAGGGTCTCACTACACGGACTGGAGTCATAGTGATTGTCCTGTTTTCAGCCTCCCGATATTGGGACTCCAGGCGCGCCACGCCCAGTCGCATCACTGCCTCAGTGCGCTGTGGGCGCGGGGCCAACACAGCAGACGGGATTGAACCCGGTCCCTGCGTCTGCCTAAGTAGGTGCTTTCATCTGCTGAGCTATCTGGCCAGCCCTCTCCCGTAAAGAGGTTTTGTGTCATTGCACTGTCTGCTGCTTTTCCAAGACTCTGACCTTGGCCTCATCCAGCAGCCACTGCACTCTCATGGTACCTAGTCAGAAATCTTTCTTTTTATGATTATTAGCTGAAATCTTCTGAGGTTTCTGTCCTCCCATTGGCTCATTCTGCTGCCTGTACTTCCAATGGATTTTGTTAACTTTTATTTATTTTTTAATGGAATCTTGATTTTATTTTTTAATTATTATGTATTTACTTGGTACAGGGTCTCATTACAGAGCTCAGGCTCACAATGATCCTTATCTGAGGGCTGTTTTACATTCATGACCCCTTTCTATGTGACTCCCCTATTTGGTTCCGTACTTAATCAATTTTACTTGGTGCTTGTAATCCCACTGGGTGACCATAGTTTTGTCCCCCGCCACATCCACCTAAGCGAGTTCCCATTCTCTCCACCTAAATCCCACATGGTTTTACACTATAAAAGTCCCTGGAAGAGACAGCTTCTGGGGGAACAACCTGCTTGGGCCCCGCCTTCTATTCCTCTCTTCGACAGGAGCTTTCTTTCTCTCAATAAATATATTCTCATTAAAAAAAAAAAAAAAAGCCACCCGGGGAGCGCTTTCCGGAGCACCAGGTGATAGCCGCCTGGCTTCTAAGCCTGGGGGTTTCGGAGGAGCCCTGAGCTAGGCTGGGCATCGAGCCTGGAGACGCGAGCGTGGACCAAGCGGACAGCGTGAGCGTGGGACCACAGCACCCTGACTGGGCATTGGTCACCAGTGCGGGAGGAGAAGCCCCTCTTTCCGGAGAGCCCACTCCTGCCGGCGACAGCAGGAACACCTGTTCTTCCTGTCTCAGATGGCAGAGCCCTTGGCGTGCATGTGAAGGGCAAACTCTTCGTAGTGCTTTCTATTGCAACCTGCATAGAATCCCCACATGGGCGAGCATGGTCACCTTCTTTTACTAAGACGTCTTGGGTCAGAAGCACTACCAAGGGGGACAACTGTTTTCTGGTGCCTGCGGGCGCTGAGCCCGGGCCCTGGCTGCTGCTGAGGGCACCGTGGCCGACCCACAGCGACCGCAGGACAGAACAGCCCCTCTCCGGAGGCTGGCTGCCCACGTGCTATGTCGGTGGGCTGCAGGAGCCGCAGCAGCTGGTCTCCCGAAGGCCTGAGGCAAGTGCCAGGCGCTACCTGCGGCCACGAGCTGGTCTACAGAGCAGCTGCTACTAGGATTGCTGGAAGGCTTCTTGGTATTTTTTTTAGGGAAGGGTCTGCAGGGTGTTCAGGGTCTCACTACTAGATCCTATTTGTAGTGATCCATCTGTTTACAGCCTCCCAAGAACTAGGATTACAGGGACACGCCACCATGCCAATCTCAACTGCCCTCTCAGTGTACTTCAGGGGGTGGGGATGGCATGACAGGCCCAGGGATCGAACCCCCGGCCCCTGCGCCTGCTGGCACTTTAATCCACTGAGCTATTTGGCTGGCCCTTGAAAGGCTTTTTTTTTTTTTTTTTTTTTTTTTTTTGGCGGAACTGGGAATTGAACTTGAAAGGCTTTTTAAGCATTAGAAATGACACACTTTACAAAGTCTCTCATTTAAGTAAACACCACTTCCTTATCTTTACTTCATTAGCTAGTTATATACACTATAATTTACATAATAAATTTATTATTTAAAATCTTTCAAAAGTACAACAATTACAACATTCAGAGGGGCTGGACCCACTCATCTGCCTGGATGAGACTGATTCTGGAATCACATTATCCAAGACAAGACAGAACACAGCTTCTCTCTCTCTCTCTCTCTCTCTCTCTCTCTCTCTCTCTCTCTCTCTCTCTCTCACACACACACACACACACACACACACACACACACACACAGAGTGAGAAACAGGTTGGTCTGTCTTAGAAGTTTATCGGTAACCTCTCAGAAGCATGTGAACATTCAGAGTGGTTGGAATCTCCTTACACAGTCCTCCTGATGAGGGCCACGGCTGTGAACGCTGAGAAACCCGTGGTCAGAAAGAAATCATCGTGGTCCTTCCGCTTTCAGGCCCCTCAGTTGGGAAGGGAGAGAAGTCCATTTTCATCTGCTGTATCTAAGATTTTACAGATCACTGGTGATTCAACCTGAACGATAAGACCATCACAAAGTTGATATACTGTTGAAGAAATACACCAGCAACAGGATCTGAGTCCTTACTGGGGGTTACGCGCTGCCCCTGTTCAGGGTTCAAGAACTTGATTTACTCTAGGCCTTTGGGAAAGACGGTCATGTTCATGTAGGAAGGGTGGCTGTGTAGTGCTCGTCACCCAGTGCAGTTTGCAAACAAAAACAAAATTCTGTCCATGCTTTTGCTTGAGAAGCGACTGCAAGTGCAAGTGTTTGCGCACCAAGGCGCTGTGCTAGGGATGGCAGTCAGGGCTTCTGCATGGAGCTACATCCCCACCCTTTTTGCTTTGAGACAGGGCTCACTAACTTGCCCAGGCTGTGTTCAAACTCCTGATCCTCCTGCCTCAGCCTCTCAGGGTGCTGGAATTATAGGCATACCCCACCACGCCTGGCTTCAACAGGCTTTCTACAGATCGAGAACAATGTTTACTTGTTCATCCTAAGTGTAAGATGTGTGCGAAGATATTTTCATCTGAGTAAATAAGGGAAGACAGAAAACGTGGAAGACAGGAGGAGGAATACACACATCTTATAAAAACAGAAGCAACAAAAAGCAGCTCACTTTATGACAAAATAATGTATTTAAAAGACAAATACAATGTAGTGCAAAGATGGCCCACAAGTTGGAATGATCAGATGTTATAAGGTATGAGGAGTCTGGGTCTGGTGACACACACCATAACCCCAGTACTCTGGGAGGCTGAGGGAGAAGGATTTCAAATTTGGACACAGTGAGACCCTCTCTCTAAAAAATAAAAACAGCAGTACATATGCCGCAGTGTGAAGGTCTGGATTCGATCCCCAGTACTATAAAACAAGTAAAGAAAACAAATGAAGACAACAGCAAAAAAGGTAGACCACATGTGTGGCCAACCAGAAAGAACTGTAGCAGAGAAAAGATCATGGGGATGAGTGGGCGAGTCAGCATCAGGCTAGGTGTGGGGGTTCATGCTTGCTTCAGTAAGCTGAGAAGCTTACAAGTTTGAGGTTAGGCTGGGCAACTTAGTAAGATCATCTATGTATGTATGCACGCGTGCATGCACGTATGTATGTATGTGAGACAGGCTCTTGTTTCACAGCTCAGGCTGGCCTTGAACTCACTATGTAGCCCAGGTTGGCTTCCAACTTGAAGTGATCCTCCTAGCTCAGCCCCCCAAATGCTGGGATTCCAGCTGTGTACCACTGCACCCAGCTAAGATCTTGTTTCAAAATAAAGAATGATCTGGGAATGTAGCTCAGTGGTAGAGTGCCCTTGGGTTTGATCCTGGTGTGAAAATAACAAAGATTTAAAGGAAATGCCAAAGGTAAAAAATCTACCACAGATGGACTATGTCAGAGATGAATGAATTCACTCAGTGACTGAGACAGAAGTAAAGGGGAAAAGTGGGACTAAGAAAGACTCTGTGGTGAGGTACTTTGAACTGACACATTTAAATGCAGTCCCAGAAAATATAGGAGGAAGAAATGGGAGAAGAAGAGATCACTGAAAAGATAACGAAGTCGGGTGTGGTGGCGCATGCCTGTAATCCCAGCACTCAGGAGGCCGAGGCAGAAGCACTATATTAAGTTTGAGGCCAGCCTGAGCTGCACAGTAAGACCCCCATCTCAAGAAACCAGGGGCAGGGGGAAGACATAACCATAAAGTTTCTACAGAAAAATACAGCAGAATATATCACTTTAGGGATCTCAAAAATTACTTAGGACATAAATAGCATTAATAATGAAAGAAAAAAAAGATGGTAAATTGAACTTAATCAAATAAAACAGTTAACTGTTAAAAAAAAAAACAAAACAAAACAGTGTGATATAAATACACAGAACAGGGCTGGGGAGATAAAGTGCCTGCCTGCCAAGCGCAAGGGCCTGAGTTCAATCCCCGGTTCTGCAAAAAAAAAAAAGAAAAGAAAAGAAAAAAGAAAAAACCAAACAAAAAAACCACAGAACTTATATCCAGAATGTATCTGAATTCCTAACAAGAAATAAGGAAGAAAACAACCCATCATGACAATGTGGGAACAAGACCGACAGACACTCTCTACGACAGACTCTCAGGCTCTGTGCGTCTCTCCCGGCTGTTCTTCCATCCTGCACCCCACCTGCAGCCCACCACGTCTGCTTATAGGAAGAACTCCTCCAGACACTACTGCGTCACAAGGGCCAGGCCCAAAAAGTATGAGCCCTGAACTCCGCGGGGCAAGGTCCACAAGGGCTGTCTGTGGAGAGGTCTACGAGTGTGCCCTGCAGAGGGTGAGGAGAGGGTGGCAGCACCTGGCGCCAAGTGGCCATCCTGCGCTGTGGCGCACTGCTGGCCCGGGGTGCACTCGCTTGCACTGAGGGTCTGTGTACTTACTGTGAACGCCCCCAGCACAAGCCCGCTGTCACAGGAGCAGCGGGGCGTGGGGGCGGGGCCTCCAGCTAAGTCCGAAGTGCTCACAAGGGTCCTTCGCAGACCTAAGGCAGCAAGCTAAAGCGTGGCCCCGCACGTCTGGACACCGCATTACTCACCCCGAGAATATACTGGCAGGCACGTGGCTCCAGCATGTACACAGTGACAGCGTGTGCAGAGTCCGACTCTTTACACCTGAGAGACACGCGGTTAGAGGAGCTGCCGCGCCTAGAAACGGCCTTCTCAATGTCTTTTTTTTTTTCCCCCAGCATTGGGGATTAAATTTAGGGCCCTGCAAGACCAGGCAAATGTTCCACCGTTAAACTACAACCCCAGCATTAGTGATACTTTTGAGTTTTTTAGTTTGATTGTTTGAGACAGAGTCATGCGATGCAGTTCAGGCTGGCCTTGAACTCAGTGCATAGCCCAGACTGGCCACGGGCTTGTGGTGACCTCCCTGCCTCAGCCTCCTGAGTGCCGGGAACCCAGGTGTGTGCCACCATGCCTGGCCTAATAAAAGTCTTAAATTACAAGCACCCATTAAAACTGACGGATACAGAATAACTTAAGACAATATGGCAATTATTTATAAGCATATATCATGTTTACATAAAGCTTGTCTACAGGAAGCAGATAAAACACGAGTTGAGGCTTTCACTTACTTCAGTTTTACGGTCACCTGTCGTGGTTTGTCAGTTATATCACAAACATCTCCATTCCCATAAAAGTGTGAGACCATCCTGAAGCAGAGAAGCAGACAAGTTTTATTAAACTGAAGCCTCAGTAATCCTAAGCAACTGTAAAGTACACTGGGCAAGGGTGCTTAGGGTTTAGGGCTACCTCAGTGTGTTTCAGATTCTGGATGGAGACTACCTTAAAGATCATTTGTACTCCCCCCCCCTCCCCCCGGAATCGGGGATTGAACTCAGGCCCTCACTGAGCCATCTCCCCGGCCCCTGGACTGTCTTAATACAACATTTCAACCTGCATTATTATTTGCATTAAAATAGTTAAGTTCAGACTCCTTAAAATGTTCTAAGCTGGATGTGGTAGTGCACACCTGTAATCCCAGCACTGGGATCACGGCATGCAGGCAGGAGGAGGGCTGCAAGTCTAGCACATTCAAGGCCAAGCCTTGTCTTAAAAAGACGCATTTTCCTGGCTAAGTCAGTACATCTTGGCTTCTAACCACCATTAAGTTAGTTTTACTAACATAATGCCCTGCAGGAGGCACAGGAAGCCTAGGCAAGCTGCAAGCATCCAGTCCCACGCGCAGGTCTTGGCTTCAGCGTGGGAGACCTGGCCCTCCAACTGTCGGGTTAGATGCACACCAGCGTGTCTATTACATGGGTACTCCTGGTAACTGTGCTAGTGCGACAGCACATTCGAAACCCTCCCTTAACACCATCTGCTCTAGGAAAGACAGAGTGACACCCGAGAAGCCACAGGATGGAACAATTTAAAATACAATGGGAAAGGGCCAGGGAGACAGCTCAGTAGAGTAAGTGCCGCATACCGGATCCTGAGTTCAATCCCCAGTACTGCAAACACAAACAGCGCCGGGGAGATAGCCCAGTAGAATAAGTGCTTGCCTGGCAAGTGCAAGCTCCTGAGTTCAATCCCTGGTACCGCCAAACAAACAAACAAACCAACAAACCCATAAAAAACTAAAAAACAAAAAAACAACCAACTAACCAATGGGCAAGCCACATGATGGGCTAAAACTCAGGTATTTTTGGGAAATGAGTATCACTTTCTTCTGTTATAACAAAACATACTTGCTTGCCTGGCAAGCGCAAGGGCCTGAGTTCAATCCCTGGCTCTGCAAAAAAACCAAACCAAACCAAAAAACATACACAACTCCAAAGAGATATGTGGTAGTTGGGCTGGAGAGATGGCTCAGTGGTCTAAAACACCTATTTGGAACAAGCTTGGAAAAGCCCAGGGACCGCGGTTCGATCCCCCAGCACCACATGCCAGCCAGCCGCGCCCCCTGGTGGGCTGAGCTGGCCACACACACACACACACACACACACACACACACAATAAATGTTAAAAAAAAATTAAAAAAAAAAAAAAGATATGTGGTAGCTTTTCAAAAATTCACTGTTCAACTACTCTCCACCATTATGTTACCAAAGCTAAGCAACACAGAGAACTATTCGAGTTCACTGAAACAGAACTCAGTGCCTTACGGTGCAGATTCCCATGACAGGGACATGGGTCAGAGCTGAGCCCCACAGCAACACTGCTGCTGCGTCCATCCGCACGCCGCCAGTCCCCCTGCAGAGGGCAGCAGCCCACGCTGCCCGCGTGCCAGGCCCTGTCCCTGCAGTGCCTTAGCTCACAGTGAGCCTAGTGTAACCAGAGGTCACTGTGCAAGGTGGCAGCCCAAAGGTTGCCAGCGCCTGAAGGACAGTGTGAGGGCCAGCCAGCACTGAGTGGCAGCAACGCCCCCGTGTTCCCTACCCTCCAAGAGAGAAGAAGAAAGCAGCTCTGAGCTGAGACCTGCCTCATGTCCTGCTCACCGCACCCAAAGGCGCGTGCAGCTGGTCCTACCTGACCGTCTGGGTCCCGTCGTCCTGAAGGTGATAGGCTCTGGCGGTGTTCTTCTTGGCCCACTCAATGTGCTCTTCTTGGCTCCACGTCCCCACGACCACGGAGGTTTTCCCGCTGTCCTTGTCCTAATTCGTGACAGACACTTATGAGATGCCTGAGCTGCCTCAAAGCCCTGCTCTGCACTTTTATTTGCACACCTGACCTCTGCCTTTGCATGGGGCATCAGCTAAGCTCCAAGTGGAGAACTCTACTCTTTATTCCTCTGAATAAAGTAACTAGTCAGGCTGGTGCCAGATAGTTCTGGGTCACAACTTTTTCCTTTCCTACATCAGCTACAGCAATTCCCCCTCCACATTTCACTGCCAGCCGAAGTGCAAGCTCCCATGTACTTATGGGGGTGGTGAGCATGTGTGCTGGGGCTGAAGCCTTGGCCTTGCGGCTCCTAGGTGTGCATTTCATCACTGGGCCACGACCACAAGCCCCGCCCTGAGATTCTTGTCTTGCTGAGACAGGGTCTCCCTGTGTGGTCACTCTGTAGCCCGGGATAGCCTTGAGCTCCCAGAACCCTCACGCCTCAGCCTCCTGCGGAGCCCTGGGATTACAGGCCTGCGCCACCGTGCCTGGCCCCAGCCCTCTTGTGCTCTGGCTGTGTTGTCAGCCTGGCCCTCAGTGCCATGGTGCTGCGCACAGGACACATCGCAGGGGTGTTTGCACGCTCAAGCCTGGCCCGAGCTGCGTAGTGGGACTGTGGCACCAAAACAGAACAAAAATCACCTGACTGTGGCACTATGAGAGTTAACAAAACACAAGGACACCATTTCCACCTACTTCTACTCTTTTCAGCGTGCATCCTCAGGTTGCACTAGTTGTATTTTCCAGGACTAGTCTTTTTACTACTCATCTGACTTTATTTCTTGTCAAAATTGTATGTCTCGGGGCCAAGGAGATAGGCTGGCAAGTGTGAGGTCAACCCCCAGTACCACAAAACAAAGAAAAAACATAAGCTGTATGTTTGCAAACACTTCCCACACTGTTCTTCATTCTGCTTCGGTTCTACATCCAACGCTGGGCACTCCTCACCTTCCTCTCTTCCCTCCCTCGTATTTTAGGCCGGGCTATCACATTAGGCAGCAGTATAGTTCTGAGCTGTCTGCAGTACTGGGACTGAGTCTAGGGCCTTGCTCATGCTGGGCAAGCACTCCACCGGAGCTGCCTACCTCTCCAGCATCTTTTTGAGAAAGGGTCTTGCGCTCAGGTGACAAGGAACCTGAGCCCAGGGACACTCAGCAGTAACAGCACACCTCTGGTTAGTGCACCCAAGCCCTAGGGTGGCCGGGCCCTTGCTCCAGTGTGACTTGCTGACCCAAGAAGAACGGCCTTTAGACGCGCTTTTCAACAGTCAGGCCGTGAGTTCTGAGACAGGGAGACAAGCAGCAACTCAGAGGCTGCACAGGCAGCAGGACTGTTTGGGCTTGAAGTCGGTTCTACTGCTTGCTGCGTCCTGTGATTTCTGGCAAGTCACCGTATGTTTTTTCACCTCGGAATAATACCACCTAGCGCTTAAGGTTGTTTTGAGGACTTATAAAAGTACTTAGTTCTTGGCACACAGTAGACACTGTATCTGTTCATTCTTCTTTATGGTGCTCGGCCTCACAGGCACCTGATACATGCTTTTCTACCAAGCTACATCCCCAGTCCACTTACTATTACTGTAAATAAGTTTTTATGCAGTTGTTTACTCTTTACTAGACATTGAACTCTAGGTCTCTGTACTAGGCTATACCTTGACTATAAAAAATATTTTGAACAATTCTGAGATAGGGTTTCATTAAGTTGCCTGTTGTGGGTTCAAATGCGCAGTCCTCCTGTCGCACCCCAGCGCTGGGATCACAGGCATGCGCCATGCACTGCATCTGGAAAGCTACTGTTGCTTTTGTACTGCCCAGAGCACCTAGCAGAGTCTCTCAGGAAGGCCTGAGTTAGGTATCTTTGACAAAATGAGATTAAACCTGTTAATTATGAGGGAAAACAGCCACCGTAACTACCAGCACTGTGAGGGAAACTTTTCAGTATACACAGACCCTGAGCTGAATACAGTGGCCAACATGGACACTTAGAAATGGTCACTGAAATGTGACCAGGACAAAGTCTGGACATGATGTGAAGGTTAATCAGCAGCAGTGTAGTTAAGAGCACTGGAGAATCTGGGGCACGGAAGCACAAGACTATGTCCTGCAGTGTGGAAGCCGAGGGAGGAGGAGGACTGTGAGCTCAAGCCCAGCCTGGGAGCTCTCAAGACCCTGCTTCAAGGTAAAAAATGAAAAAAGGCTGGGAATGAGCTCTGAGCAGGGCCACTGGTTGGAAGACATGCACTGTAGGAAGAGGTCATTCCGTTAGTCCCGAAAGAACAGGGCTGGCCGGCACCGGCGTGGAACAGGCTCTGAGACCCTCAGCAAGAGCAAGTGCAGGGCGGCACGCGCTCCCTCCTGTGAGAATCGGGGCCACACCACCATCTGCGTGCATCAGGATTCTTGGTTAACTATTTCTTACTTACTTCTTTTCTTAGTGATTTTGGAAGAGTGGGGTAAAGACAGAGAAGAAACTAACTTTTAAAAAATTCTGGCATATATTCATGCAATTAAAAAGCCACTGTCATTATCTGGGCTACAGTTAGTAGTTTATCCTTTCTTTATGTATTTAGTACAGGGTCTCACCACGCAGGTCAGATTCGTATGATCCTCCTGTCGTCAGCCTCCCCAGCACTGGGATTATAGGCATGCATCACCACGCCCAGACTCAGTTGCCTGCTTAGCACGCCTGGGGGCAGGGCCGGCAAGGCAAGTGCTACCAGGGACAGAACCCAGTCCCTGCGCTCGCCTAAGCAGGCGCTTAGTCCGCTGAGTCATCTCACTGGCCCTAGTTCATCCCTTTTCTGTTTGTCTTAGTATACGGTATTTAAAAAATGGCAAAGCAGCACAAATAAATAGAAAATATACTTAAACGAAACTTCATGGGTGTAAGTGAAGAAAAAGCTTACAGGTATTTTATATAAGGCAAATGGATTTGTTCTACTATGATCTCACCTGAAGGTTAACATCAGCTCAAAACGTCTTGTGTGGGCAACTAGAGGACTTGCGTGGTGTCTTTTCTTTTGGGACAGGGTCTCACTACGCAGTTCAGGCTGGCCTTGGACTCACCCGGCAGCTATGGCACTTACTAGTCACTAGCTATTATTTCTTTTAGGAGATGAAGACAGCCTTTAAAGCAACTGAGCCAGTATGTGCTGACTCAGGTTGGTCTGGAATGCATAGCAGCTTAATATACTAAGTAAGATAACGTGTAACTAATACAGTTACTGGAACCCGAACTTCAGAATTTAGCAGACTGGCTAGGCTTGGTGGCACATGCTTGTAAGCCCTGCACTAGAGAGGCTGACACAGGAGGATCACAAGTTTGAGGTGGGGAGTTCAAGGCCAACTTGGGCTACACAGTGAGTTCAAGGCCTGGATGGACCACATACTGAGGCACTGTTTCAAAAAACAAACAAACAAAAACCCTAAAACCAAAAGAAGAGAAGTTATATAGATTGCATGTGACAGAACATGCTGACTTATAAAATCATAAATGAAAGAAAAGCTTATATTGTAAGTCTGAAACTCACTTTGAAGTGGTACTTGCTTTAGAGCTGTGAAACTCGTTACATGGACCCAGATTTACTAAGGGCACCACTAACGCATCGTCTTAGCATTATTTTCTTTCTTTCCTTTCTTCTCCCACTCTCCCTCTTTTTTTTTTTGGAGGAACTGGGGACTGAACTCAGGCCCTTGTGCTTGCCAGGGAAACGCTTATTCCACTGGGCCATCTCCCCGCCCCAGCATTGCTTTCTTAAAAGATGATTATAGGAACGGCTACTTTTTCCCAATCAAAGACAGAGAACAGTCACCACAGGAGCTTCTGAGTGCAGCAGGTTAAGTCGCAGCGAAGCAAGGAGACGGGGCTGACAGCGGCGTCACCTAGCATGACTGAGCGCCCCTAGCGATGTGTTTTCTGCTTGCTCCTACTTCCACACTAAAATCATCTTCCAAGTAGAAGTGGCATCAATTCCCTCCCTTTTTTCTATGAAAGATTTAAAACCTTGATGCAGAACCAGGGACGCAGTTTAGGGGTAGAGTGCCTGTCTAAGAACTGCCTAACCCCCCGTGGCAGAACGTCACACGAATGTTGTTCTATACCTCGTGGTACTGATGTACGTGTCTGCCATAGCAGAATTCATACTTCCACCAGCCAACACCCTAAAAGAAAGAGGAGGCATCAGATCAAGTCATACTCAGCGGGGAGGGCACTGGGCTGGTGCGAGGTGGCCACACGACAGCGATGGCAACGCGTGCGTGTGTGTGTGCCTTACGACCCGCAAGAGCAGCAGGACGGCTCTAAATGGATAATCACTACAACTCTGAAGAGAGAAAAATATGAACAACTGCTGCAGTGCTCTGAAGAAACAAAACAAAAATTCGACGTGTAAGTGCGTTCCCACGGGTGCTGCTGCAGAGGCTAATGTACCTCTGTGCCGGCGGGAGGCGCCGGCCTGAGGGAGCTGGGAGGGCTACAGAACCGAGCTGCCGGTCCTACATCGCTGATGCTCGCGGCAGGAATCAACCAGAGTTACCCATCACTGCCAGAACAAAGGTCAAGCTTTCACCTCGTGTATAGAGGAGGCAGTGACTAGGGATGACAAAGACGCAGCAGTGTAAGAATGCAGAGGACTGGAGAGAGCTCAGCAGCACAAAGCCTGCCTGGCAAGCGCAAAGCCCTAAGTTCAATTCCCAGTGCCAAAGAAGGGCAGAGAAAATGTCAACCGGGACTGGCAAGATCCTGCCATTTCTCCACAGCCACAAATCTATTGCAGCGCCGCTGCTGCCCACTGACTACACAACTGACAAAGTTGTGAGATAAATATCTGAACTGAAGGTCCACGTCTCACCCCATGGAAGCAGTAAGAACCACTAAGGAACTCTTTTATAAGCTGGTCATCTGTTAATTTTGAAATGTGGGTTGTCCCAACAGTGAGCACTGGCTGGGCGCCAACAGCAACGGGCTTGTGGACCGCTGGAAGCCTTTCTTCTTTAGTTGACTGCAGATCTTCCTAAAATTAAGCAGACACAGACTTAAGGGTTTTCATGCTACACTTAATTAGTTTTGCTCTGACTTCAATTATTATTTTTGACAGTGTAGAAAATTTGAAAAACGTATTTTCCATTTTTTAAAACGTATTTTAAGAAAATGAACTGTGCTAAAGACCCATGCCTGGAGTCCCAGCACTCAGTGGAGACCCAGGTCAGCCTGGGCTGCACAGTGAATTCAAGGCAGCCTAAACTATGGCAATACCCTACCCTAAAAGAAAAAAAAAAAAAAAAAAAAAAAGAGAAATGTCCAGGAAAATGTTAAGGTATGGTGACCAGCCTGTTCCACATATTTTGTTTCATTGTTCTTTTTTTTCCCCTGCATGTATTTGGTACAGGGTCTCACTATGCAGGTCTGACTTGTAGTGATCCTGTTGTCTTCAGCCTCCCCAGCACTGGGATTACGGGCATTCCCAGGCTCAGCATGCCCCAGAGGTGGGGCCGGTGGGGCACGCAGGACCAGGAACTGAACCCTGGTCCCTGTGCTTGCCAAAGCAGGCACTTAGTCTGCTGAGCTATCCTGCCGGCCCTACTCTGTAACTGGTACACTTGGTAGACTTGATGTTTCTGCACTAACAATGAGAACTAGTTATTTAGTATAGAGAAAGGCTAACAAGAAGAGTAAGGAGGAACTGGGTAAGAATGAACTGCTGCCCCAGGGAACCTGCAATTTAGCAGGGCCGGTGCAGGGAATCCCTTTACAGGAGCACAGGGAAGAGCAGACTCACAGAGCAAAGAATGGTTCAAACAGACTGTGATCAAGACCAGAAATACAAGGATTCACCAGAAGAAAAGCCCTGGTCACCTCTTGACACGCGAGCAGTCATTTATGACTTATATACCTGTAGATATATGCATGCACGTGGCAACCTCAACAGGAGGGAAGCGCAAGACGTGGGCTGTGGCAGTTACAGTTAGAGACACGCAGGTGGCATGCGGAAGGCAGCTACAGTGAGGCGCGACCTGGAAGGGTGCACTGCTCCCCTCGTTCTTCCCTACTCTTTCTGCTTCTGGCTATCGTGATTTGATCAGCTCCGCAGCTTTCCTCCGTCAGGGGCCTGTCCATCAGGCCCTTCTGGCCCTGGAACCAGCTGACTATGGGCTCAAATCTCTAAAATCTCTGCGTCCAAATCACCCTTTTCTCCTATCAACTATGGGTGCTGGGCGACGCATCTCAGTGGTGAGACAGCGAGGCACTAACATACATTTAATGGATGCCATGTCTGCTTTCCCCATACAGTGGCTGCCACTAACCAAAGGCGGTCCTCCTGCTTCTGTTTCTGCCTATGGTAGTCATCGATGGCCACTCTCCTAGGAACCAATGGTGTCTGTCTCTATTTGACGATAAGGATTTCCAAGATGGTGTCTTCTGTGTTTTGGAAAGGGTCTTGGACTGTACTGTGTCACTCACTTTCAGAACCTATATAGATTGACTCTCTTGACCAGATAGTATTTCCTGGCACTACTGAAGTGCTGAGTATGAAAAGTGATGCAGACACACTCACAGCCTGGAAGGAGCCAAGGTCTGAGACTCAACTAAAAACAGAGTACAACACACCTTTATTATAGATAACAGAAAGCATACCTGTCTCGCAAGCACGAAGTCCTGAGTTTGAGTCCCAGTTTAAAAAAAAAAAAAAAAAAAAAAAATCAAAATCAAAACCAAAATCATTACCATTACTGGGGACTGCATAATGCACTGCCCTTGCGCTTGCCAGGGAAACACTTATTCTACTGAGCCATCTTCCTGGACCCCAGTCCTTTGTTTTGAGACAGCGCCTTACTCAGTTGCCTACACTTGGTTCAAGCTTATAATCTTTCTGCCTCAGCCTCCCAGAATGGTAAGATTCTAGGTATGTACCTCCAAGCCTGGTTTAGATTTGTATTTTTGTTTAAAAATAGTAAGAAAAATTCCTTATTTGTATGGGATTACAGGCTTAAGAGACACTTAAGAGACAGACTGTATGCCAAATATACATTTTTAAACACACATTTTAAGAGCAAAATCATGTGTGGTAAGTTTACTCTGATCAGGATTTTTCTTGGTGGTACTGGGCTCTGAGCCCAAGGCCTTGAGCATGCTAGGCCAGCAGTCTATCACTGGTGTTCATTTCTACCTGTCACTGAATTTTGAGACAGTCTCACTGAAGTCCCCACAATGACCTCTACCCTGTGAGCCACCTGAGTAGCTGGGTCACAGGCATGCACCACTCTGGCCAGCTTGGTGTTTTTCTTTTTTGGGGGGGGGGGTGCTGGGACTCGGACTCAGGACCTTGCACCTGCCAGCCAGGTGCTCTGTCGCCGAGCCACTCTCCCACCCTGATCAGTTTGAAGCGACCATTCATCTGATGGGGTCACATAAAATTCTCTTAGGGAGCAGGCGACCTGAAGTTCCTGAGTATTTTGAAAGGACTGTCATTACATACTTTTTTTTTTTTTTTTGTCTTTTTGATACAGGGTCTCACTATGCAGTTCAGGATAGTCTCGAGCTCACAAAGATCCTCCTGCCTCAGTCTCCCAAATGCTGGGATTTCAGGTGTGTGCCCTGATGACTGGCTCATTCATAACTTTTGAAAAACTCATTTTTCTCAACTGATAGATTAAACACATTTATTTAAAGGAAAGCAAAGAGGCACTTTTTCCCTGAAGAATAATGAAAGTTGTGATCTGTGAAGCCTTTTTATTCTCCCTCATTTTTAAAAAAAAATTAGCATGTCTGTGTGAAGCCATCGATGGACCAGAGAACTCCAGTTCCAATCTTCTGGTAGGGAATTCCCAATAAACTGGGGAGTAAGATTGAGAGCGCTTTTCCTCCTGTCAGATAGTGTTGGTTATAGCACTGAGAGAGTCCAGTGTACCCGCGTGAGAAGTATTCAGAGAGAAGACACAGGCAGGCCCTATGGTGAGTGTCTATCCAGCCATTGCTAAGTACTCACAGCACACCAGGCATTCTGAAAAGTGCTCGGAATATCAGCTTCAGATGCTTTTTTCACACAGAGCATTTTATCAGCCATGAAGAGAGATTAGAAAGCAGATCTGGGGGGCCGGGAGACAGCTCAGTAGAATAAGCGCTTGCCTGACAAGCGCAAGTGCCTGAGTTCAATCCCTGGTTCCGCCAAAAAAAAGCAGATCTGCACAGAGACCAGCTTTTGATCTTAGAAAATAATGAAGCTCCTAAACCACTAAATCTCATTCTTTGAGGTAGGTGTAAACAACACTGAGAAAATAATTATAACGGCTCTTACTGAGTAAGTAGAGGTAGAAATAAATGAAGAGTCAGGAAGATAAATGACTCAGGTTGGCTAGAGCACAATGCTGGGCAGGTGTGGCGTCTCGGACCTGTAGTCCCAGCACTCTGGGGTAGGAGTGGGTGTGGGGTGACTGCAGAGGCAGGAGGATCCTTGCAAGTTCGAGCCCAGCCTGGGCTACAAAGTGAGCTCAAGGCCAGCCTGAACTGCATAGCGAGACCCTATCTCAAAAAGACAAACGAAGCAAAACAAAAAAATCCCAACCTCCCTCAAAACAAAACAAAACAAACCAAACAAAAAAACACTTTGGAAGCTGGGTGTGCTCACAAATGTCTGTAATCCCAGCAGCTCTGAGCAGAGGAAGCAGGCCTGGCCAGCACGGGCTGCACAATGTGCTTGTGGGCTCAAGGTAAGTTGGACTACGGTGAGATTCTGTCTCAAAAGAGTAACAAAGCAAGCCTTGGAGAAGATGGGAGCCAGAAACAAATCCTGAATACACATGGCTCTGTCCAACAGACAGGTAACAGGAAAGGACACGGGCCAAGCAATATTCAGAAGTTGTTAAAGCACAGCAAGGAGCTGAAGAGTAAATAAAATGCAAGGAGGAGATGAGAATTGTAGTTCATTTTTTTGGAGAGACTCAGCTGTCACAACTGCCTAAAAAACAAACTACAATGCACAGGATGTCAAACTTTAAAATATTCTCAAATAAACAGTATTAGAGAATGTTAATATTAAAACATTTTTGAAAAGTAAAATAATTTAAATCAATGAAGAGAACTGGAATTTGAAATCTTGAGCCAATGAAAACACCACTACTGCATTATAGAAATCATTATGATCCTGATGTATTTTTCAAAATTTAGAAAATGAGCACAGAGAAACCACCACTAGCTAATTCTCATACCTCTTTACTTCTTCTAAACGGCACCCTTAGTATTTCTTCTTGCTGCTCCAACTGTCTCAGAGTAAGGGGTTTAAATGGAGATCCTGGCAGTGACTGGCAAAATATGTCATTTACAGGAGATGCTCTGAACCTAGTTAGTAAGAAAAATTAAAGCTAAGCAAAGAATGCTTTAAAGCCTGAACAGTATGTTTAAAATATTAAACATACATCCTACCTATATTTAGGATGATTGCACAAGAGTGGTGTCAAAATGACAACTTCATATTCACAAGTTGTAACTTCAGCCACCGAAAGAATTTCGTGCTTAGATTCAGGATGACATATGTACATCACAGTGCTTGATCGGGGCCGGTTCTGCTTCAAACTACAAGGCGTACCATTTCCCATTCCTACAGGATAGTAGGGCGTCATCTGACCTTCAATGTTTTTAGTGGGAATCTTCAAAGAGAGCACAGACTTCTCATTAGGAAATGAAGGACTGAGAATGGGAGACGCATTTGTTATTTTGAAAGGAAGAAAGCAGGCGTTCTATCTAAACAGAAAGGTAACATTTCTACACTTTCCACCCTTTCATGTTGATTCATAAGTTCTTACTTGAGCAAACACAACTCTAAAACTAAGACATGAAGTCAAATACATCTATGTAAAGGATGCGAAATCAAGTTAATATGAGTTTTAAACGCTCAGTGAATAACTACTTAAAAGAGTTGATTCCACAAGCCTGAAGGTTGACTTGTCAAAAAGCAGGGCTAGACAATAAAACACTATTGTACAAAACGGAAATCTAAACACACTCCTGGGATATGTGACTGTGTACTCTGCTTCCCTGTTATCAACAGCATATGTGTCTCAGCATGTAAAGTCCTGTGCAAATCTTCCAAGTTGGGGCCCAGGATGTAGCTTAGCCGCGCAGTGCGTGCCTGCTTGGCAAGCGTGAGGTTCCCAGCTCAATTCCTGGTATAAAAAAGAAAAAAAAAAAAATTCAAATCTTCTCAAGTTTGGCAAATGACAAACTAAGAAGCTAATGAGGGCAAGGGGAGCAGAGGATGGATCTAAAAAGCCAAAGCTCCCCACTGAGCCAGCTTCCACACTGTTGTCTACATGACCATCAGAGAACTCAGGGTAGGAGCTTTAAGAAGACACCGTTGGGGCTGGGGAGATGGCTCAGTAGAACAAGTGCTTCCCTGGCAAGCACAAGGGCCTGAGTTCAATGCCCAGTTCCACACCAAAAAAAAAAAAAAAAAAAAAGACACCATTAATAGCATCTCCAAACAATCTTCAGAGGCAGGAGCCTCATCTTGTATTGCTTGGGTGCCCTGCCGGTGCCATATTCAAAAGAGACAATAAGTAAATGTTTCAAGAGAAAATATCTGAGGGTTAGAGAGATAGCTCAGTAGAATAAGCGCTTGCCTGGCAAGCACAAGGTCCTGAGTTCAATCCCTGGTACTGCAAAACAAAAAAGAGAAAATATCTGGGCTGCGGAGATAGCTCAGTGGTCTTAAGCACCTTCCTGGCAAGGACCTGGGTTCAATCCCTGGTACCACATGCCATGGTGGCCCTGTGCTGAGCCGGCCAGCAAAACTGAGTGTGGTGGCACACCCCTGTAATCCCAGCACTGGGGAGGCTGAGACAGGAGGATCACTAAGACTTTGAGCTGCCTAGTGGGATCCTGTACCAAATAAATATTAAAAACAAAATTTCTAAGGCTGGGGAGATGGCTCAGTGGGATAAGTGCTTCCCTGGCAAGCACAAGGGCCTGAGTTCAATCCCTGATCCTGCCAAAAAATTTTTTTTTCTTAAAAAAGAAAGTATCTGCAGTTTCCTTGTACACTACTTTAATGTTATATGAAATTAAGAGAATTGTAACTTCAAAGCTTTGAATTTACTAGCTTCATGACCTTGATTAAATTGCATTTGACAACTACAAAAGTAGTATAGTAAAAGATTCTGAGACTGTTGGAAGAATTGAACATCAGCTTTTGTGAAATGCTATGTTTTGGTTTGAAGGTTGGGGCTCAATTAATGTTACAGTCTGCTCTTGCCCCTTTCTTTTCATTTATTATTTCATGCTTCAAATTCCAATTTCCTACCGTGAATCACTATTTTATTTCAAAGGTAGCAATCTCCCCCCATGCTAGAGACTGAACCAGGACCTTTACACTGAGCTACATCTCCAGCCTTTTTAAGTTTTTACTTTGAGACAGGGTTTCACAAAGTCACTCAGTTACTCAGGCGAGGCTCTGTTGTGATCTTCCTGCCTCAGCCTCGCTAAGAGCTAGGACTATAGGCCACCACACCGACTGAGGTTGCAATCTCCCTGCTAAGTTACAAGCATCCCTATTAAGAAAATTGCACAAGTGCCCCACCAATGGTGTGTCCGGCAGTCTCCTCTGGCTGCGCACTGCAGAGATAAAAAGACAGGTCCCGCTTTTAAAATGCTCGCAATATGGTTGCTTATTATTTATGAAGACACTTTATCTGTTCCCTCACAGCAATTGGGAAGAAACATGAAAAGATGTAAAAGCTGCTACTAGAACTGTATCTAACACTAAGCCGAAGAGCCCCACTGAGCACGAGAGCAACATCGTGGTGGCACCGAATCCTTCCCACATACAATATGTATTTATCTAGTTTTGAAACAAGGTCTCGCTACGCAATTCTGACTGGCCTCCAACTCAGTGTGTAGCCCTGGCTGGCCTCCAAATCACAGCCATCCTCCTGCCTCAGCCTCCTGAGTGCTGGATTACAGGTGTGTGTCACCACACCTGGCTCCACACACAGTATTGCTAGATCTTTTTATTTAGGCGTCAGTTAAACAAAAAAAAGTAAATAAATGGATCACAATGTAATTCAGAAAAGCTAAAGCTACCATACAGTTTTGACTTATTCCTTTGAGGTAGTGCATAATTAAAGAACACAAGGCTACACTTTTTCAAATAAACTGTATAAATTAATGCCTCACTAATAATAAATGTTAACAGCAAAATATTAGATCTGTCACTTGCCTCGCTTGATTTTCCTTCTTCTTCTGTTTCTTGTTCTGTGGGACAATTAAGAGACACGTGAGTGTGAAGAATGGGGAGGGACACGGTCAGCCTGAGACTTCCCAGGACCGAAAACACATGCATGGCTTTTGTCTTTCCTGGGAGGGGGGCTGGGGTTCAAAGTCAGGGCTCTGTGGTGGGAAGCGAGTGCCCTGCCTCAGAGCTACACCTCAGCCCACCTTACTATTTTTAGTGGCCTTGAGAGGCTGGTCACATTTAATCTCATGTATTACTTATAAAATACTCCATTTCATGAAAATAGTTTAATCTCAGTGGAAAGCTAAATCTTAAATTAATTCACAATGTAAGCAATGTAGATTAAATGGAAATATTTTACCCTCTGTGAGATACATCTATTTCCATATACAACTGTTTACAAGTAAAAGATGAACATTACACAAATGTATATCCTATTAGATTTTAAATATTTCATTAGTAAGTATGAGAAAAGTATATTTACTAATGCAAAAAATAATGAAAATAATGGCTTCTTCAAGTTTTCTAAGGGCAAGTTCATAAACTTAGTGGTTTAAAATTCAGTTTCCAAGAAAATCTCTTAAACTTTAATTTGAACATAAATATTAAACCAAATCCCAGTATTATTATCAAATCATCGTGTAAAGACCAACCTTTTTCAGATAGAAGGTTCTTAGCCAACATATTCCCAAGGTAGTACTCATGAATATTTATTTTCTATATTAAGAAAAAAATACAGTTAAGTATTTTGCAAATATACTTTTATGAATAAAACTTTAAACTATCAATTTCATTATAGAAATTTCCCATTTTATGTTTTTTCACTTTATATTTTCAAAAAAACTGTACCTGACCAGTTTCTTTCTCTTCATGGTACTGCCGGATATGCTTTCCATGACATACTTCGTAAGTCCAGTAAGACTCAATCTAAGAAAGATGAATGCATTTAAATATATAACTGACACTCATTATTACTTTTTGTTCCTGAGAAAGGGTCATGCTGTGCAGTTCAGACTGGGCTTAGCTCATAGCCACCCTTCCGCCTCAGCCTCCCCCGTGCTGGGATCACAGGCACATGTGACCACATCCAGACGACACTCGTATTATGTCTCAGAAAAACATGAGATTCTGAAGTTCTCAGTATTCTCATTAGCTAGCTATATGTGAGAATTATGTAAAAAAAAAAAAAAAGAAAACCAAAAAGTCCAGAATATATTTGGGTATCTACTAAGTAGGGGACAATATTCTTTGTTTTTTTTTTAAATGTATTTAGTACAGAGTCTACAGGGTCTCACTACATAGATCAGACTCGTAGTGATCCTGTTTTTCACTCTCCCAAGCGCGGGGACAGCAGGTGCATGATACCACGCAGTCTCAATTGCCCCTCAGCGCGCCTGGAGGTGGGCCCTGTGCACCACCTAAGCCGATGCTTTAGTTTGCTGAGCTATCTGGCTGGTCCTCAATATTCTTTATAACTTAAAAAATAACAATAATCTTAAATGGAAATTGTATGAGGTGAGGAAATGTTCCTTTTAGACAAAAGCATTCACAGTTACTTGCTAACTGATGATTTTAAATTTCTTTATTTTGAGACAGGGTCTCTCCTGTTGAGCAGGCAGGCCTATCTCACAGTCCTCCAGCCTCAGCTGTCAGGGCGCTGGCAGTTCAAGTTTACACACCCAGCAGAGAATGCTATGAGTATTATTTATTCAGTGTCTGTGCATATAGTCTACAAGAATTTAAATGAACAAAATACTTTCTTAAGTAATAATTTAGATTTGCATCTAACTTAACAAATGATACCATAAGATAAGAAGAAATGCTTAAGTAATTTCAAGGGTCTTCTGGCTGCTGGAAATTTATTTTCTAGTTATCAAATGCAGAAAAAATACATACCCTGTACGAACAACTGCTTTGTTTAAACAGCGGTTCCAAAAGCTCTCTTGGACTAGGACCCTTATAATCTTTTTCTTCTTCCTAAGAAAGATCTAGAGTTAAACATTTATAATTTTTCTAGAACTTAACCCAACTCTGCTGTTTGGTTATTAACTCACTGGTTAAATCACAAGTGCTTGGAAACAAAAAAGACAAAAAATAAAAATCTTTAACAAGATCTTACTTCTTTCAAATGAACTGAAGTATAAAATATGGAGCGACAAAGTAGTGTTTTACAGTATTCATTTCCCCCCTTTTTAATGTTTTATTTTTTTGGTTTGAGGCAGAATATTGCGATGTGTTAGGTTGGCCTTGAACGCACAGCTATTCTCTTGCCTCAGCCCCTCCCAAGGTGTGTTTGGTCTTTGAGATGGGGGGGGGGGTCCTCACTTTTTAGTGCAGGCTGACCTCAAACTCACGGTGATTCTCCTGCCTCAGCCTCCCGAATGCTAGGATTACAGGTATGAACTACTATGCCTGGCTCTTCCTTTTCAAAAATGATTTCTAAGCATTAGTCTCCTGAACAAATTTTATAAGCCCTTTTTAGAATCTTACAATGCTTCTACCCAAATATTCTAGCTATGAAAGTTTCAAAATGGTTGAAACTTGCAAAATTTCAAGGTACTTTCGGTTTCCTATGTATTTTTTACACTTCAGATCTGAATGCTAAGTGTACATAAGGTTTTCCGTGTGTATATTCGTGTTTTAGGAAATTTAAAACAGTGACACAGCTCTCTTAAGATTTCAAATCAGAACAAAACTTAAGTACTGAGTTTAATTTTCTGTTTTATAGATCATGAAATGGCTCGGGAGATACACGCAGTGCAGGAATGGGGTTTCAAGCCTGCTTGGGTTTTACAGCTAGCTACACCTCACCCCAAGCTCCTGCTTCCTTTGTCAGAGTCCTTCCCGTTACTGCCACACCTGCCTTGTCTGGGTACCTACCACCCTGAAGGATGGCTGGGAGGCAGTTGGGGCACTTCAGGAGAGAGAAAAGGGCCAGAGCACGTGGTGAGGCAGCACTGAGTCCTTACACACACAGGAAAATGTCCTACATGCAGCTAAAACGTAAATCTTGTTTTAAACCCTCATTTCTGCAAAAGTAAACATTTTCACTCAAAATAGTAACTCTGCTAATTTTTCCAAAACAAATGGCAAAGAGTTTAGGAATGATAAAAGTGATTAATATTTTTATGCTAAAAGTGTTACTGAGAATTTTATTAAATTTTTAGAGTATGTAGTTCTGATATATTAAATAAATAATTTCAGTGACAAGGATTATCGATAACTTTGTAAAAACTCACCTCATCCCCACTTGTCACAAGGGGAAGTATACATTTATATTTTTCTTTATGTGTAGTTGTCATGATGACATAGTTATCTTCTTTATATAAAACTCCAGTCGTGGGCTTGAAATACAATAAAATATATATATTACTTTCTTTGGTCAAATTGTATTGACTATATTCAGTCCCAGCGAGGAACAAAAGTTCCTCAATTCATCATTTCAGTAAAATATTTTAAAGACGTATTTTCAAAGGCAGGGAAAAATAGTGGCATATTTTTTGACAACCTTTATCCTGATGCTACAATACAACAACATATAGAAGACAGTTTGTAGTAAAAAGAAAAAAAGAGGGCTGGGGAGATGTCTCAGTGGGCTTGAGTTCAATCCCCAGTTCTGGGGGAAAAAAAAAAGTTACAATAGGCTAGTGTTAAAACACTGACTGAAAAGCAGTGCAATGCAGATTAACAGGCAATGAACTTTATTTTGAGGTGGTCCTGGATAGGACCCAGCGCCTGGTGCACGCTCCACACACTCTCCCTCTGAGCTGCATTCCCACCCTTTATTCTTCATTTTGAGACAGGGTCTCAGAGGTTGGCTTTAAACTTGGGATCCTTCTGCTTAAGCCTCCTGACTAGCTGCGATTATAGGGTTGTACCACAGCCCCCACCTGAAATGTCTGCTTTCTGGTATGTATTTTATGAAAATTCTCTTTACTTTTTTCTTCTAGTAGTATGAAATTATTGTACTCTTTATTCCCGGCAAGGAAAGATTCACTTACTAAATACCTATGTCCTTTTCTCAATTCATTAACAGCTTTTAAAGAAAACCACTCTACTTGAGAACAATGTTATCTTAACCACAAACCCAAGTTAGGGCAGTGCATTCCCAAGACACACATAAGAGCCCTCCCTGTGACAGCACAGCAGGCGGCTGGTCTCCTGGGGCTGGTCCAGGATGCCTGCACACCCAAATCTGCACAGGCTCAAGTTCCTCATGCACAACGCACAGAACTTCTGTGGAGCCTCCCTTCTACTTAAAATCTTCACTAGATAACTCACATTACACAATACAATGTGAATGTTAAGTAAATACTTGTTGTGCTTTGTTTAGGAAATGTAAAAGGAAAAAACTCCGTACTCGCTCAGCACAGCCAAGTCCATCCCCAGGAATATCTGTGTATGAGGTCAGCTGAGTCCATATATGCAGACCCATGGATGTGGAAGGCCGACTGTGCTGTTTGAAGTGATTTCTACTTATTAACTCATGAACCCCCAGACAAGCATAACACAATACACATTTTCATAGACAATGACTTGACGTTAGAGCTTAGATAAGTTTTCCAAGGTTTTACAGCTAGAAGTAGCAGAGCCCAGTGGCACATCTGAATGTTTATTAACATTGTACCTAGAATTCTAGGTCAATTTCTAATTTTTGGCCGAACATCCTTATTTAAAGACCAGTACAGGGCTTGGAATATAGTTCAGCAATATTGTTTGTCTAGCATGTATAAGGCCCTGGGTTTGACTCTCAGTAGCAACAAAACAAAACACAAAAAGCCATTGCAAGTGGCAAGGGAATTAGATTTGAGACAGTCACAAAGTTAAATTTATTATAAAAGCGTCCTCAGAAACATTCATTCAAGGGGCCAGGGAGGTGGCTCAGTGGAATAAGCGCTTCCCTGGCAAGCGCAGGACCTGAGTTCAATCCCTGGTTCCGCAAAAAAAAAAAAAAAGATTCATTCAGTTGGGTCAACAATTTGCTGTACGACCTAACAGTAATAACACCTTCCAGTGTTTCTGAGAACGTAGAAAGTCTGATAGCGACTTGTATAAAGCACCTATCATTCATTTAGCAATGGGTGCCCTCGAGTCTCATCAAATCACTTTTTTCCCCCTCAATGGAACTAGTGATTGAATCCTGGGGTTTGGCAAACGCTAGACAAGCACTCTACCACTAAGCATCATCCCCACACTTCTTTTTAAAAA